GCACTCCTGGACTTAAATCCTGCTGTGCTTCTTCCCAGTGCTTATTGACAAAGCATCGGAGGGACTGTGTGGCAAGTTGATCACCACCCTGCACCAGCTGTAATGAACAGGAGAACTACTTCATTAGGAAGTACAACAGTGCTTTGCTGTCTGGCTTCAAGCGCTCCAGTCCTCAGTGGCGGAGGGGAGGATGGTCAGGAACAGCAGGAGCTTTTGTTTCCCAGAGCAGCTCTATAGGTGCTTTAAGTGCTGTGCAGCATTTCAGAGGCCAGCCCCAAGAAGTGTCTCTTGTGCACGGCCAGAGGAGGCTTGAAAAGCAAACGCCTGCTCCCATCCCCTCCCAGACCCAGTGAAACAACCAGGGCACAGCTCTTGGCTATTGGTAACAGTTGGCCTGGCTTAACTGACTGCCCAGGCTACACGAGACCTGCCTCCAGCCTCTGATCCTCAACAGGGGCAGGGAGCAGTTGCTCCCCTGTGGAACACAAGCACGGTTCAAGCCTGTCAGGGTTTGTTCTGAGGCTCCTGCAGATGCCTCCCATGCCATGACCTCTAGCAGGGACCAGCATCTGGCATCACAGGGTGACCACTGCTGGTGTTTTCCCACAGACACACCAGGAAAGCAGTGCTCCTCCTGCCTGCAGGCAGCACAACGGAGGCCCATCGCCTCCCAGAGCCTTGTTTTTCCAAGGTTCCCAAAAGCTTCCTGGGAAGCTGGCAGGCAGGGCCCCTGCTGAGCAGCTGTGGTCCGAGCAGCTCTGCCTGTCCTCAGAAGCACTTCCTATTCAGAGAGCAGATAAGCTACTGCAGCCTCCGCAGTGAAGCATCCTTCTGATGCTTTTTGTTCTTGTACTTTTATCCGCCCAGGAAATCTCTGCTCAGAGGCAGCACGTTCAAACAGATCCTCAAGGAAAGGAAAAAAAAGCCTCAGAGATAACAGGGCCCTTTCTCCCCCCAGACAATGCCAAGGAGAAAGGGGGAGGGAGGAGGATGACATTAAAGAGAAAGAAAAAAAAATTCCTATTGTCCTGGAACGTTTCTGCACATCCTGATTCCATATGGAGCAAATACCAAGGGCTATTTCTGTCATCAGACTGCCAAGAAAACCAGAGCTAACACACATTACTAAACAGTCCTAGTTCAATAACCCAGCTTTAAGGAACCCCTGCTCCATTAGCACTATCCAGAGCCCTTAATTACTAAGAACCAGTCACACTGGAAGCAGATTTCCAACATATTCATTATTTACTGGTTAGCAATTCAAATGCTTGCACCGGATGCTCTAATAGGAGGGAAAAAAGCCAAGTGGAGGTTGCCAGAGCTCCAGCAGAGCTGGAGGAAGGATATCTAGTGACTTCCATGTGTCTGCTGTCAAAAGGAAAAATGAGTTGAGAGCAATAGCACAGGTACATTAGCATAAGAAGCAGAAAGAGAATGACTAATAGGAAGAAGCTGAACACTCACTTGTGCTGCCTTATCTGCTGTATTGAAAATCTCTTGGCTGGGTCGTATTCAAGCATCCCTGAAAAGAAGGAAAAAAAGTCCAGGTGTGATCACAGATGCTCTCAGCCAAGTTGAAGACAGGAAGCATAAAGCTCTGCCCTTCCCTCCCACCTCCCTCCCCAACAGTGACTGGGGTGTCCAGCCCTCCTGGCTGCTTAGGGAGCCTTTATGTCCAGGAAGAACCTGCTGCATGGATCACAGGAAGCTCAGCACAGAATCCCACCTCCATTGCTGACTACCTGCTCAAGGCTGCTCCTCAGTTTCCCCACCTGCAAAGTGGATACGACCTTTCCCTCCTTCACACTGCAGGGACAGCAGCTTGCACAGCCCTGGATCATACGTCCAAGCGTGTCTCCAGGCGAAGAACATCAAGACTTTGGATTTCACAGAAAATGCTATTGAACTCTCTGCACGGAAGAGCCAAAGCCCAAGGCACAGCATACATCCAGTTGCTCAGCATCCCAGAAACTCCAGGCTAGTGAAATTCTATTGTGGAAGCACAGAGAATAATCTACTGTCCCTCCTTTTGCCCCAGCCAGGAGGTTGAGTTCTGGCATTGCCTGCTAAGATAACTGGGCAGGGGGTAAGAAGAGGGAAGAGAGGAAAAGAAGCTCTCTAGGAGAGAGGGAGGTGGATTCCTTAAACAGACCCATGAGATGCTCCACTACCTTTAGAAAGCTTCACAACTCAACAGAAGGAAGCAGCAAACGTCGCCACATTCTTCAGAAACTAGCCAGTGGGACCTAACACATCCATCCAGCAGCACCCAAGCCATTCTCCACTGAAGGTTCCAAGAACACATTCCTCTAACGAACGTTAACAAAGTCTGTCCATTACAGGGAGTTTTGCTTTTACTGAATGATACCCCCCTTGTTGCTCTTGCAGCACCGGTGCTGCTGTGAAGTGGTGAAGCACAAAGAGTTTGGGAAAGAGGTGAGAGAACAGGAGGACTCCATCTCCAGCAACCAGAAGAAAGGCAAGGAAGCACAACTGACTGTCAAACAGGAGCTAGAGAGGGTCAAGTGCATCACAAGAAGCCTCATGAACTCCAGGCACTCGAGTCTTTAGAGCACACCGGAAATTTACACTTGCCCTGCTGAGACCACAGGAGCCAGCACGCAGCTACGTCAGAGTTACGCGGTTGAGCAAGAGTGGAGCTACAGCAACACCTCCCTGCTCGAGGGCTGGACGCCTCCTCAGCAGCTCCTTCTCTCTGCTATCTTCTCTCCTGAGCAGGCTAAAGCCTAAAAACAAGCACTGTCAGCCCAGGCTGCAGCTACGGACCACAGGCCTATGGGGCAGAAGTACCCTGTGCTCCAGCATGTCCCCCAGCAGACCCTGCAGCCTTCTTGGAGGCTGGAAGGGACCTTGGAGATCACCTAGTGCAAACCTCCTGCTTGAAGCAGGCTCAGCTTGCCCAGGACTGTGCCCAGTGGGGTTTGGAATGACTCTGAGGATGGAAACTACAATCCCCCAACGCAATCTGCTCAGCCCCCCTTGCAGTGAAGGAATTGTCTCATGTCCAGGTGCAATTTCTCCTCACAAGAAATAATAATTGCAAAACTGGGAAGGTGAAAAAAAAAATCCCCTACCTAATTAAATAACCTATTAATAACCTATTCATAAGATTATTAGACAGTTTCACAGCTGAGCTGCCCAAATGTGTTGGCTTTTTTAAGAAATAGGACTGCAAAGAGACCTTATGTGAAGTCCAGGGGACACCAAAGCAAGAACTGGCTCAGTTACATCATTAATGGCATCAGAAAGAGGCGAGTTAGGACAACCCCCATTTATTTACTCAAAGATCACATCTCAGGGTGCTTCAGGAATCCAGCTTGTTATGATGAAGAGGCCCAGCAGCACCAGTTGCAGACAGCTCTGGAGCAGAGAGCTGTGTGTTCTCAAGCAATTAAAAAGGCAGGAAGATAACTGATGAAAAGGAGTATCTATTTAATGAAAAAGGACTGTATTTTGGGCAATGTTCGAAAGAAAATGGCAAGTCCAATCACTGATAAAGTACATTCATGCATTCAGCTCTGACTCACTCATGGCAGCGCTGTGGCTGGAGTCCTGTACTGAAAAGAGGCTTCATCAAGACAAAACATCATGTACTATTCACCAGTCATCTCAGAGTGTCTGCCCACAGGAACCACACACTCTCTTCTCCCATTTAGGGTAAGGATTTCCATGCAGTTCATCTGTGAGCAGAGCTGAGACTCTCTGGAATGGGGTGACTCTTCAGGGGATGCCTAACTCACAACCTGGAAGGATTCATTGTGCCCATACATGGGGCCCTGAGCCCATCACACACCAGCAGCCTCAAACACTTTCAAATCCTGTCAGTGCAATCCAGAAACTGGAGGCCACAAGCCTGTCCTGCCTCTTTACAGGCTCCAGCCCACACACCGCAATCCTCTGGGACAAGGCAGCACTGCAGCAAGCGGCAGAATAGCCAGTGTTAGCAGAGACCAGGTACATGGCTTGAGAAGTGAGAAATCAGAGAGCAGGAGTTAATGAACCCAGCCTGGACTTCACTTCAGTCTCCAGCTTGGATCAACATTCAAAACAACCAAAAGAAAAGCACTATAAATCCAATCTGTGGCGGGAGACAGGACTTTTTCCCTCTCCTTCATCCTCCACAAGCACAGCCAAGCACTTGACCAGAAACTCCCTCTGCAGGCAGACCCGGAGTTCTTGATCAAACACATGTGGAGGACTCACCGTGGGATGGGTTACAGGCACCAGGGTGCCTGCCCTGTGCTCTGGGGACTCCCTTCTCCTGCAGAATTAAAGCACCCACTGTCCCCAGAACAAACCCTGAGTCACTGCAGTCACACACGAGTGAGAAACCAGCCAACTTGTCCCAGGTCCCAGAGAGCCTGAAAATCAATCAGGGGTGAACACAGTGACTGCAGTTTCAGAACTTCAGTAAGAGTGTATTAAAAGAGGAGGACGAAGAGCTGAGCTCTGTCACTTTTCTTGTCCAGAAGCAAACTGCGTATGAGTTGATAAGTCATGTGCTGACGCTGACAGAAGAACCTTAAGGCTATTTATAAATGCTTCCACTGACACATCATTCACAAGGCAGAGCAGCACTGGCCCTTCTCTCCTCTGTCAGGGAAGAGCATAATCAGAACTTCATCCCTGATTAGGGAGACAGAAAGAGGAGCAGTATCCCAACTAATCTGTTGACATACACTGGCCTGCGAGTCTCTTTATAAGCCAAATACCCTAGAAGCTTTAAGTCCTCTGAACACTGCTTCTTCTGGAAAAAGGAACAAAGAAATAAGAACAAGCTCAATGGAGAGAAAAAGCAAAAAGAAAAAGTAGTCAACAGAAGAACCTTAAAAGGTGTTTTCTCGTGTTCAGTTCATGGTACTGTGGTCAACACAATACTTGTAGCCAGAGAGGAAATAAGCACTTTGCAGCATCCTGAATTCTTCCTCGCAATCCCCCCAGAGCAAGTGCTTGCAGCACTGCAGAGTGCTTCAAGAGTCTTTTAAGAGCAATGCAAAGGCAAAACCAAGTCTCTAATGAGATGGAGCTCAGCTGTGGGTGCCTGTGCTGCTCACAGAAAGCAGCCAACAGCCATTGACAAGATCTGATCTGCAGGCTCTTGATTCAGCTTCAACCTGCTGCAGAAGCAGCAGGCACCTACCAGGAAATGCAGATGTTGTGAAGGAAAAGAGCAAACTAAATAAAGCCTCTGGGTTTTGTCACCATAGCTACGTAATATCAGCACCACAGGGCTCAGCCCTCTCCTGCCGCAGGTACCCTGGTACCTGCTGGGCTGTGGGATGCTCAGTCACAGAGCAGAGGGAATGGGCAACTCCATGTGATCCATCCTCCACGGATTCACCGTGCGCTCCAACCACTAGGAAACGTCAAGAGTAGCAAAGCAGACCAGAGAACACCAGGTTTTACCAGCTTTTACTGTGTGACAGATGCCTATGACAAGAGGAGGGGTGGGAGGGTGTTCTCAGGTGGGATGGAGGGAGGACAGGAATGGCAATCCCGAGAGTGCCCCATCACCCTGGACGAAAGGGGCGAGGTGACAGAGACACAGACATCTCCTCTGCCTACCAAACACACTCGGCTTGCATCTCTGTGGTGTCCGAAAACGGAGGGGATGATGACAAAGAGCAGCCAGGATGAAGGGAGCAACTCAGACAGGCGTAAGAGCTGGACAAAGGGCATCAGGCACGAGGCTCCTCCATTTACAACAAGTAGAGGGAAAGTAGGAAATTCTGACTCCAGGTCTTCTACAGGGGATGGAAAGAGAACTAAAAAGGGAGTTATTCTGCTAATGAAGCATAAGATTTTAAGCTATCAATATCCTCAGCACAAGAGAAACAACTGCTTGATTTCCCTGGGGGACGGCACTAAGTGCAGAGGAGAGGCTTATCACAAACCTCAAATGGTTTCTGCTGGGCACTTCAGAAGCCCGTCCAGACAGACCACTGGAGTTCCTCCATTTGGGCAATTCCCAAGCTCATAAGAAAGGCCATGTTTCGAGCCAGTGTGCACAAATCAAACACCACACGCAGATCAGCACATCGCTCCCTGGGGCGCGCGGGTACGACACGGAGCACACGGCAGCCGGGAGTGCGGGGCTGTGAGCAGTAGCCACAATGAGGCTCAGCAGAACGGCCCCGGTACCAGCTGTGCTGAGCACAGCTGGAAGCTCTGCCTGTGCAATGCCTTCTGAAAGCTCTTAGAGCTGGTTACAGCTTCTGGAAGCACACAGAAACAGCACTGTCCCCAGCCCAGGCCGGGGCCACAGCTCCCTGCAGCCACTGGGAGCAGTGTCTGCAGCACAAGGTGGAGCCCGAAGTTGCTCTGAAACCCTCAGCTATTGGCACCCACAAAGGCAACGGCCCCATGAGCACGCAGAGGGCAGCACACAGCTGGGTGCAGACCTGAGGACAGGGCTGATGGAAGGGAAGCTGATGTGGCTTGCTCACAGCCCTTCACCCCCACCAACCTCCCAACCCCGCAGCACAAGCACCAGGAAAATCAACCTGAACCAAGGCAGCGTCAGCTCGTATCCGAGGTCTGATCCCTCACAAACAGCTCAAGACCTGTGCCTGTGCTGAGGGCCAGGGAGGGCAACCACACAGGGCTGTCCCTCTGCCGACGGGACAGCAGGAAGGCTGTCTGGGATCTCCAGTGTGCTCAATCACATCCTACCTGCTGCCAAACAGGCACCGCTGAGGTGGCTGCTATGCACAGTGTAGCTGCTGCCCTGACAGTTCACCTTCCCAAAGCAGACTCCGCTCAACACTAAACCCCAAACTACTCCAGTAAGTGACTGGAGCAAAAGAAAACCCAAACAAAAGCCACAACCTTCTCCTTTGACCCAGAAAGTGCTGCTTCTGTTTCTACCACAGCCCTGTGGGCACCAGTCACTGCTCCAGTATCCTAACTGTTACTCTAAGTTTGGGGGGAAGGAGATGACAGCTGGGACTGAAGCAAGTAAATTCAGAGCAGAGCTGAGGAGGAAGGACACCAGAGCCTGAATACTCAGCATTTCACAGTACAGAAAGCTTGGACAAGGGATTTCATTGAGTGCTCTCACTTGCAAAACCTACATCAATGCTATGATGACATTTTAAATTTAACCTCTTGTGGGTTTTGTCTTTAGATGCAAGAGCTTCTCAGAGCACAAGAATCATGATGCAAGAACCAACCCTACAAAGGGTAGCAACTGCAACTTGTGCAGGGTTTAGTGTACCTCAGGAAAATGCTTGTGTTAAAGATGTTTCAAAGGCTTATAAGGTTCCCAAGCACAACCTCCCTCTCTGACGGGATCCTGTATCTCACAGGATACTTGGAATGAAGCTCTCCCCAGCACTATGCAAGCTGAGTATTTGCTGCATCTCTATGTTTCCCCCTTGCAGAGCCAGCTGGGAGACTCACCTCTCAATAAGTCTGAGAGTGGAGGACCACAATCCTCTGGAATTGTGTAGTCACCTTTCCCGATGTTTTCAAATAACTTATAGATATTATCCCCTTCAAAGGGGTAAAGACCCGTTGTGATGTTGTATCTGTAAAGGCAGAAGGAGAAGCTGTATGAGAAAAAGCACACAGAGCAGGTACTCCTACATTGGGGAACATGACCCCTTCCAAAGCAGGGACCACCACGCACCCCCCACCCCTGCTGCCCCCCACCACACAGAAGAGCAGCGATGGCAGCAGATAGCACAAGACTGAGCTATGTGGGGCTTTGTCATTTGACTGCAATTCCTGGGTGCTGCACAGGCACTTACAGTGTGACCCCTGCGGACCAGATGTCTACTTTAAAGCCTGAAAAGGTGTCAAGGCCATTGGCAATTTCTGGTGGCTGGAATGCTGGCGACCCTTGGCTCGTTCTGCATGTGTCATCCTCTGCAAACGGATGCAACGCCTGTGGTGGAAGAGACCCATTAGCTTCCAACTTCCAAGGCAAACAAACTGTAACCATGAGAGAAACAAAAGGGGAAACCTCTGGTACTGAACTGTTGCTTACATGGAATGCTGTGCTGAGTCTATCATGAGTACATGCCACTGCAGCAACTACGTGCCAACAGCAACAATCCTCGCACCTCTCCTACCCAGCTAAGACAGCCTTTAAATAACAAGAAGGATGAGGTTATGTAGCTCATCACCATCTCACCACGCTTGTGGGCTTCTCTGAGATTGATGTCCTCCTCCGTATGCTTCCCGGATGGAAGTTTTGTGCTGTTATCAACAAAAGTGGTTTGCCAATGGCAATAAATATTCAGAGTCACTTGAGAGCACTCCACAAGTTTAACAGAAGCCCAACTGCACAGTAAATCAATTGGCACCACAAAGGTCACCTACATGCAGACTGTCACGCTTCCCACAGTCTTGACTCTGCTGCAGTTCTCACTTACCTCTGCTACGCCTAAATCGGATATTTTTAGTGTCCCATTGGTTGTTAGCAGGAGGTTCCCCGGTTTGATATCCTTGTGGACAATCCCTTGGCTGTGCAAGTATTCTAAGCCGTCTATAAGCTGACAAAAGTACCTGCAGAAAGAGTTCAAGGAGAAAAAAAAAGTCCATAGACTTCCACAGCCTGCGAACTACTGATCACACATAAAGCAAAGGAACTCACCCGTGAGCCTGGAAAACCGGAAACCTCTTTTCCGGGACACTGTCCAGCATTTCCTGCATCCCACACACACAGTACTCCATCACCATATACGTGAAGGCAGCGTTAAGGAAGGTTCAAGGTCAAACACTTCTCAGTGCAGGCAGAGCATGGGCAGCCTAAAACTCTGAGACCACTGAAACAGGAGGTGAACTCCACAGAAGTGAGGGAGGGGATCTCACAAGCATGGCACAAACAGGGTAATGCTCTGAAGGGGCTGCGAAAAGAGTGAGGAGCCCCTGGCAGAAGCACCCTGGGCTGTAGTGTATCGTCCTGTTCTGCACCTGAAACGACAGCGAGGTCCCAGCACCTTCCCCAAAGCTTCTCTTATTCTCCATGTCCTGCCCCCATGCCATGCAGCTGTATGCACTAAGTGCTGCTCACCCCCAGCCTCACCGTGGTATTTCAGCAGCAGGAGCTGGGAAGCTCTTTTGAAACTGTGTGGATTAAACCCAGTTACAGCAGAATGCCCAGAGCTAGTGGCACTTTTCACGTTCCCTTGCAGCATATTCCACTTTCCATCTCCTTAACATTAATGGGATAAACTACACAGCTGCCTGAAGCAATAATTGCCTCTTCTTCTTCTCCCTGAGCTTTTCAAGGCAGACACTGCGCTTGAGAGGGGCTTCTAAGAACAGACCCTGAGACATCTGGTGGCTTTGCCTAGGGAGTGCACCTTGGAGCTGAAGAGCAGAGTGAAGCAGGGCTACCAGGCAGCTGTAACCCACAGCACTGCTTGGTCACTAATGATTCCTGGCAGAAACTAAACCTAAAGTAAGTTGCTTATGTCCCAGGATGCCATTGTACCTCTTGAGGCAGGAGAGGCTAAAGAGATGACCCGGGCTGCAAGTGTGATCTGTGCTAGACTGTTGCTCTTTTGCAGCATGTTCCATCCAGGAGCTTAAAACACTGCTTCTGTTGAGCACTGCTTCCTTGCAAGGCCACTGCAGTGAGTAAGGGACTGACCCGTGGAGCAGCCAGCCTAAGAGTGAGTTTCTTTTCCCCTGGATCCATTCCCAAACCTGTTCACTGGGTGGCTGCACAAGCGCTTGTAGTGCCACATCCTCAGTACGCTGAGCGGGCACCAGCACTGCCAGAGAGCCTGGAGAAGGGTGAAGCAAAAGCATGCTCGTGGATGAACCCTGCTCCCAGGGAAACACCAGCTTGCTCCAGGTACACACACACAATAAGCATGCAGAGAAACAGACTTTCTAGGAGCGTAGAAGCAGGTAAAAATAGTGAAATCCACCTGTCCTTGCAAGAGGAAAGTACTGAAAAGCAGATTGTTGCTCTTCAAACACTCCTGTTCACAGAGTAAAGCAGGGAACATCCTCCCGGGCTTTGAGAGGTCACATTTCTGAAGGACCGTTTTGGGTTGTCATCGCCTGTTACCAACACACGAGGTCTCTCTCGGGCTCTTTTTCCCCCCGTGCTTCTCCTTTAGCAGCTTCTTACTAAATAAATGGTGTTTTTCGATAGACGGTATTTGAATTGCAGCCTCTTTGGTCTGTTAAGGCTACAAAACAGGAAGAAGTTGTCATGCTTTTCTCATACTCATCATTTGGTGGCAGAATATTTGGTCTAATTAAAGCACCCAATTAAATTACCCATTTTCTGAAGTATTTAGAAAACAGTGTCAAAAAGAAAAGCAACAATTTAGAACCTGAGCTCCAACAGATCAGCAAAATAAACTCCCAAACTGATTAAGTCAAAGTGCACTCCGAGTGTGGCAGAGATTAAAAACCCAGCTACTCACTTGTAAGCTAAGGTGTATAGTTACACCAATTAGTGTCTATGTGTACCTGGGGACACAGAGCACTGGAATAACACAGTGAAGTCCAACAGATGCACTGAGATCACAAGCCACAGCCTGGATTCAAGACTGGAGCAGTTTGCTCTCAAAAAGCTGGGCTGTAGGTCTTGCAGAGGATGTGCTTTCAACTCTCACCACTGTTACAAGCTTTAGGTCACTTAAAGCACTGTCACAAGGGACAACAAACCAGAGGAGGCTCGGGAATCCATTGGAAGGATAAGCAGCAGCAGAGCACACAACCTGCCCAGGCAATGGCAGCGGCGCCAAAGACCTGCCAAGGGAGAGCTGCAGGCGCCCGGTGCCAGCCAGGGGCAGGGTTGGTTCTTCTTGTGATGGAAAGAGGAAAAAAAATACCTAAACCATTGCCAAGGACTTAAAGGAAAAAGCATTACAGGAATTGATTTCATATAGCATAGACAATAAAACGTCCATCTTCAGGGGAAAAGAGGCACCGAGACAACCCACAGCTACAACTGGAGGCTGGAAATGACAAATCTACAGCTCTTCCTCCATCTCTGAGCTGCTGAAGGTCACACAATAAAAGAGTGTTTGAGGGTCCTCAGCCCTGCAGCTGGGACCTAGGCACAAGATTTCAGTCCCTAACTGGGAAGCTGGGAAACTCAAGAAAAGGTACTTGTGTGGAAAGCGTTCCAGACATGCAGCATGTTTAAAGCTGTGCAAGCAAGTTTAAGCTTAAGAAACACTCGAAGGGGGCTCAACAAAAGCATAACTACAATGATTCAGCACTATAGCAGAGAACAGTGGGAATTCAAACCTTGCAATTGGGTGAAAAAAAGGATATATTTTCTGCTTCTCTTCATTGTACAATACATCTACCAACTGGATCACATTTTTGTGCCGCAATCGTCGCAGGAGCTGAATTTCCCTGCAGGAAAAAGAAAGGAAAAAAGTTGTGTTTAAAAAAGCCCATTTCCTTAGTACAGATTAAATCAATGTTTTTTAAGTCATGTGGATTTTGAAGACACTTCAAAGGGCATTAGGCCCAACTGCTTCACGGGAGACTACCCAGGCATGCTGTTTGATAGAAGGTCTTGTGTGTTCTTGAATTCACTGGTCCAAGGTTAGACTGTGGGGAAACCTGCTGGTCACTGAGCAGTGGTATACACACAAGTGCCCTTTCAGCAGCACCACACAGCCAGCCTGCTCAGGGCAGGAGCTTTATAGTCCATTGGTCACTGACAACAGAACTATTCTCAAGGAGTGACCTACCTGTGTGCTGGACATGAGATGGCTGGTAAGACCGCCCCGCGCCAAGGCTCTGGTGTCATTCAGCACACCCCACCGAGCCTGGGCACTGGACTCACAAGGTGCTGGTGCACTGAGCCAAGCCACCACCTCCCACCCGCACAGCTCCGCTCACACCATTCCCTATGGCCCTGGGCAAGCTCCTCACCATTCCCAGTGAAAACCAGTGCTGACTAAAGGAAAGCTGGAGCTGGACAGGCTGCCCTGTCACCTGCCCAGGCAAGGCAAAGCCCACCCCGATTTGCTCCATGTATCAAGGATGTGGCTTTAGCAGCTTCCCCTGTTCTGGGTTTTCACACAGTGGTGCTGGGAGCTCAGCTCAGCACCAGTGTCTCCAGTTACACCCCTGACAATGCACTGCACTTGTGTTTACCACAGTATCTAGGACAGTCACTGCCAAGACAAACCTTTCATGTTTTCACTTCGTGCTTCTTCATACGCAAGCATCATCTGCAGTTTTAAGAGCAGGAATAGATTTGCTCAGGCTTCCAGGCTCCAGACTCCACGGAATGTTTTTAATCAGCATCGTGACCAGGAACAACCCCCACAGATGTCAGTGTGAGGCAGCAGCGAGGCAGCATCGTGCCATTAGGTGTGTTCCCAGCGCCCGGTGCCAAGCGTGGCAGAGCAGTTAGCACACGACTGCAGCCCAAATGCTGATATCTAGCTGGGAAGCAACTTGGAGAGTAGATACTTGCCCCAGAAAAAAAGGAAAACAAAGGTTTCTGTGCCTAACAAGCAATTCCTCCTGACAGGAAGCACCTTCCTTCTGAGCACCATCAAATACAACACACAAGCAGCTGCTCAGTGGTGGGGCTGCAGGCCCAAGACCCCTGAGCTGCCCAGTCCATTTGTATGATCAGTTTAAGTGTCTTTGCAGATGAGTTAGTACAGAAATCATCCTGAAGATATATCACATCCCTCAGAGGCAGCAGCAAACGGAGGCAGTTTCATAGTGCCCTTTATCAAAGCTGTAACTTCCAGGAGAATTCAGAAGTGAAGCAACCAATGTAAGAATTACAACATCAGTCTCGAGAATGGGTGGAAAACAGGAGTTCCAATTAATCACCCCATTTCTTCCAACCTTGAGTCCTAATTTGACTTGACTGAGCAGTTCAGAGATCTGAACTGAACCCTCTGTTGTGGGGAATAAAGAGACTAAAACTGAGTGAGGAGACACCTTCCCTCGGGTGTGAAAATGGACCCTTGTCTGTCATCTCCTATCAGCTGCTTTGATCTTCCTCTCTTGGGACTCTGTACCATGCCCCAAACCACATTTTAGTATCTTTTGCATTAAACTCAGCCTGCAAAGTCCCAGCTGTGAAGAAGAGAAACAGGAGGATCAAGACAGTCAGGTCAGGGTGGTTCTGTTGGTGTGTGAAGTGCAGATACTGCTCCTCACTTTGTTCTGCTGTTCGTGCTAAACCACACGCTAACTCTTTTCTCCAGCTCCATTTGGGAAGCTGCTTTAAGGAGCACGGTGACATTCCAGCAGTTAGGACCCTTGAAAGCAGCCTGACAAGGAATTCTGAGCACACCTTTGGAAGCAGGAACCTCTGCCCAAACACCACACGCCAAGCTCAAAGCCGCCCATCCCGTGTGATGGATCACAGACCATTAACCACCAGTGACTGCTCCTCCCAGAGGCTTCTATGGTGCAGGAACACAAACAGGTTCTTTTAAAGGTCTTTTAAGGATCTCTGAGCAGTAGTATTCATTATTCACTACCAAAGTTTAAGCCAGGCACTTTTCCTTTCTCATCTATGGCTTTAAACCCAGCCCTGATGCGAGCTAAGCAGAAACCTGGGGTAAGAGGGCAAAGTGTTGTGTTTAAATGGCACACAGATTTAAAGTGATGCAGCTGCTCTAATTATAGGAATGACCAAAAGGCTGAAGTGGATTAAATTAGCCTAGAAACTGCAGCCAGCATTAGGGCAGGCCTAAGAAGTCTCTCTCTAATGAAGGGAGACGGGCCCAGGGCTCAGGCCAAGAGAGGGGCCGAGCACACGCACAGATTTAAATAGGACTATTCTGCTGTGAAGCCAAACAGTTTCCAATAGTAGGACCACGTTGGAAATCCTGATCCCAACAGCGCATTCCCTGTAATACAGCTTGAAAGCACAAATACCAATTCCTTCTCCTTTAACCGCCTGGTCACTCTCTCATACTGTGCAGTGTTTCCCCAGCGGGACGCTGTGAACTGCTCCGAGGGCCACGCACCCACTGCGGGGCAGAGGCTGAGCAGCCTGATTCCCAGAGGGAAGATTATGGCTATTTTTAGCTCCTCTGGCATCCTTGCAGGAGCAGCCACAGCCAGAGCAGCCACCTCCGACTCCATTTCAGTCCTCCAGCTCTGCCGAGCGAGCGACCTCAGCGTTCACCTCACCAGGAGGTGCCCAAAGCTACTTTTTATCCCCCAAATTAACACAAACCCCACCAGTCCCCCCGCTTCATCACAGTTTGCCTGTGCCTCTGACAGTACTAAGGAAGAGATCTGTGTGCCTCTCCTCCCGACCAAGACCAGGTGGCTTCCTGCTTTTCCCAATCCAGCCTAGCGCAGATTTCCAGGATACCTTTCGAGCTGCTCGGCTTTGCCTCCTTTCCTTGCTACCTCCAAAATCTAACATGGAATGTAAATCACAGCAGTTGCTTTTTAGTTGCTGCTTTACCTCTCAGAGGGAAAGGGAGAACCCCAGTGAGGGGCCAGGCTGTGCTTCCTGCAACATGGTGATCACTTCCATACCCACCCGACTGAACACCGCTATTATGTAGCCAGAATAGTCTCCATTATGGAATTCTGTTCCTTGTTTTCCACACTAGAAAGCCCTCAAGCGTGTGACAAGCCAGCCTGGCAGAGCCTGGGGCCTGCTTCAAGATAAAACCATCTTGGAGGAGGAAAAGAAGAGAAAAAGATCTTCCAACTTGTGGGTTCCTACATGGTTCTGCCAGAGCCACAGAATCTGAGTTATCCCTCTCCAGGTACCTCGCCTGGGCAAGTAGCAGGGAATAGTGGTGCTCAGACCTGTGTATAGCAAAGCTGCCTACTTGTACCATGTGCTACACGATTTTGGAAGGTGCCAAGGATGGCCTGGAAGAAGACATCCCTTCCTGGACCATTCTAGTAAGATCTTCACCACAGGATGCAGCGTTCTTTCCACAGTCGTTTCAAGCCTTGGCTTCATCAAAGCCATTCTTGCTGAGAGAAGAAGGAAGAACAGAGCCAGATCATTCTCTTCCTTCAGGTCACAACGTTCCTCCACAGCTTTAAGCTTTCAGGATTTTATCAGAGACAATTGATTATGAATCTTTCCCATGTTCCCTCCCTGGTCAGACGGATGCTGGAGGCGGGGGCTTACAGCAGGGCTTTGGTGACAGCTCTGGGCCTCAGAGCAGCCACCCTCACCCCTCCTTCCCTCCCTGCTCGTGCCTGGGGCCCAGCTCAGGCTGTCCACATGCAGCATGTGGCACTGAGGAGCCTGGCACAGGAACTGGGCACATCCCCTGTGCCAAGAGCCAGGGACACTCACAGAGAACAGCTCCATATGCCAGTGCCGGCACGTTCCAGAAAGCCACTAACACCATCCTTCATCCTTGCTAATTGCTACAGAGGGCTCAAGAATCCTTCCTTTGGTCCATACACAACTGAACAGTGACATTAGGTGTTTATTTAGATTGATTCTGTAATCCTGTATTGTCAAAGCAAGTTTTAATCACACATTAGTATCCTCAATACACCACAGAGCAGATTAACCAAGAGTCAAGCTGGTGAATGGCTTTTTCCTGTGGATTTCACCTAAAACCCAGCAACTCCACTCGCAAGGACACAACTTGTTACTGTCTCCACGTGAGAAGCTGCACCTTTTGCTCTCGCAAGGGGAAAGGATGTTTCAGACAGGACCAAGCAGAGCACTGCACTGTTTCCTCCTGCAAACTAAGCGTGACACAGATGAGTGAACATCTGACACGGGGAGGGGTTGACACCATTACGTGTAGATGAATCCAGAGCAGATCCACATCTTCCACACTTCCGTATCCCAACAGTTCAGGGTTTAGAGGCTGGAAAGGGGAGGGAGGCCAAAAAGTGGGGATGATCAGGGGCTGGAGCACCTTCCATCCATACAAAGATAGGCTGAGAACATTGGTGCTGTTCAGCCTGGAGAGGAGAAGCTGCTGGAGACCTCAGAGCAGCTTCAGTGTCTGAAGGGGGCTACAAGGATGCTGGAGAGAGACCTTCATCAGGGACTGAAGTGATAGGACAAGGGGTGATGGGTTCAAACTGAAACAGGGGAAGTTCAGGTTGGAGATAAGGCAGAAGCTCTTCCCTGGGAGGGTGCTGAGGCGCTGGCACAGGGTGCCCAGAGAAGCTGTGGCTGCCCCATCCCTGGCAGTGTTCAAGGCCAGGTTGGACACAGGGCTTGGAGCAACCTGCTCTAGTGGAAAGTGTCCCTTCCTGTGGCAGGGGGTTGGAGCTGGATGAACTTTAAGGTCCCTTCAACCCAAACCAGGCTGTGACTGTGTGACAGGACAAGCCCAGCTCCCTGTGCTCTGGTTTTTATGTTCCACCACAGAGCCCCAGCAGACACCAGCCTCACAACGAAAGCACCAGAGGCACCAGCTCCGCCCGGCAGCAGCTTCGTTAGGAGGGACAGGAAACGAGCTGAGTCAGTTGAGCCCATCTCCGTGTACAGCACATGCCTCTGCAGCTAACAGCAAGTCCTTCCTCCAGCAGAACTGTCCCTGCCGTGAGGTGCAGGGCTCTTGAGCTGCAGACCCAAACCACGGGCCTATCTCCTGCTTGAAACCTCCGAGGGACTCTAATGAGCATCTCTTCCAATCTCAGCACTCACTGAGCATGGTAAGTACAGCACAAGACACTTGGGATATGCACAGGAAGTCCCAAACCCTTAATTAAAATGTGAGGCTATTAGCACACAGTTTATTAAACTGGTGCTGCTCGAGTCTTCTGTATTTTTCTTTCATCTTTTTGGCAATGCCACTAAACTCGTTTCTTGTGTTAACTGGAGGCAGGAACTCGCCATAGTCCTGTCTGGGTGCCTGAGCCACCCCAGCCTTTCTCTGTAGTAACCAGAGAGAAATAAAGATTCCCCAGCCTGATGTATGGAAATGAGCAGTTCTGAGTTTAAACCCTCAACATCCACACCAGCACTCACAGACCCCGCCAGGGCTCATTTTCTGGGGGCAGAACCCAAGTATTTCAGGGTAGAGAAGAATCATTTAACTTGACATAGGTCTCAAACATACTGCAGTCGCAACTTCTGGGTCCCCAGAACTCTGCTGCTGCACCAGAGACAGGCTGGGGCTGGAGCAGTGGTGAGGAGGAACAGTTGGAGCTCCCCGAGCTGTAACTCCAGCGCCACATCCCCAGTGCATGGCACAGACCTCACGATCCTCCACAGCTCATCATTAGTGTGCTCATTACTCCCCATGTATCACTTGCTCATGTAATTACTTACCCAAGGGCCAGCAGTCTAGGAACTGTTTTCTAGGGAGATTCTTTGATGACACACTATCAGTGCAAGTTTCACCTTCACCACCGCAGCAGAGATGCTGAGGTGTCCTCTGCTAATGGCAAAGGCACGAGCCCGTTATAGAAACTCAGTCACGTCTCTGCCGAATCAACCAAGTCACAGAAGCAGCTTTACCCTGCACAGAATCAACCAGGCTGGAAAAGATCTTCAAGCTCATCAAGTCCAACCATTCCCAGCCCTGCCAAGGCCACCACTGACCCCTGGCACTGATGCCTCGGCCACCCGGGGTGTGAACACTTGCAGGGATGGTGACTCCAGCACTGCCCTGGGCAGCCTGTTCCAATGCCTGAGCACCCTCTGGGCAAGGAATTGTTCCTCAGCTCCATCTAAACCTGCCCTGGGGCAGCTTGAGGCCGTTTCCTCTTGTCCCATCCCTTGGGAGCAGAGACCAGCCCCCTCCTAGCTCCATGCTCCTGTCAGGCAGTTGGAGAGAGCAATAAGGTCCCCCCAAGCCTTCTCTTCTCCACACTGAACCCCCCAGGTCCCTCACTTGAGCTGGAGCAGGCACTGGCTTTGCAGTTGTACCACAGGGTGCTTTGAGACTGAAACAGTGAACGGCCACTTCCAAGAGAAGCACTTTTACACCCAGCCTGAGCCCCAGTTGCTCAGTGCCAGTGGGCTCTTTGCAGCACTATGTGAAGACATTAACCCCTGAGAGCAGACTAATAGTCCTTGTACAGACCAGGACACAAGTGGGACTGGAAGCAGGGCTCACTGTAACACCTCAGTTATGTTTTTACTTATTACTGCACTTCTTTGTGGCTTTCAAGACAGAAACTGGAACCTAATAGTGCAATTCGGTCCAGTCTGATTCTCTCCTGTTCTATTCCACACCAGTAGCTTGCTGGGTATAAACCACTCAGCAAAGCTGCTCAAATGGAGCTGTAGGAAGTCAAATTTTAAGAGTCTGGCCAAGCAACATGACATTAAAGAAATACTATCAGCAGAGCACCTTGCAGCAGTTTGCTCCCCCATGCATACTGACCAGGCAAACCATAGGAGTTTGGTGATGTATCTCACCACAACAGGTTTATTCAGAGCAGAGACAGCTTTCACAGCCTGTTGCAGTAGTGCCAAAGGGGTTTGGTAAGGTCAGAGTACCACGAAATACAACGTTTTGCCTTAAAGTCACCACTGAAGCAGCAAGTAAAGCAACTGAATAGGTGGGCAAAGAGAAAAGGCCACGGTGACAAAAATAGGAACTTGAACTAGAGTAAACCCTGGTTACAACATCTAAAACCTGCCTCGGTGCTCTGAAGCAGGTGCAGCTGAGCCAGAAAAACATCCACAGCAAACCAGAGCGTGCTTGGCCAGGCTGCTTTAATAACTAACCTTAGGGGAGCTAAAGGAGACCCAGACCGGCTCTGTGCATGAATCAGACTGTTCGGGTTCACGCCAGGACTCGAGCCCATGACCAGGTTCTGGTCTCAGGCGAATCTCCTGGTGTCTGACAAGTCCTTCACTGCAGGGGAGAAGCATTTACATTTAAAAGTTTCACTAAGGAGGAAACAATCTCCCCCTTCTTCATCAGAAGCCCTTGATGTAAGTGAAGGAGGGAGCAAGGGTGGGAAGGGGCACTCATGCCTTTAACCAGAAAAACAAGAAACATCTTATTACACATTAACCAACAGTTTACTCCGATTCTGAACTGGAGCCAGCAAAGAAGAGAAAGGGAGGACCCATGGGAGGTTTTGTGACTGTTCCATAGGCAAGTCTGGCAGCAGAGGCTGGGAGGCAAACTGAGCCCTGGTACACGATGTGAACTCTCTCACAGCTGAGCTCAGAAACACAAACCAAACCCAACAACAGCAATGAGCCTCTGCCCGGTCAGAGCTCCACGCTCAGCACCCACAGCTACAGACCCAGCGCAAGAGGCTTCCAAACAGCTCCACGTCCTCCCTCCCGCTCCAGATAACCCCTCGCAGCTCAGCTGCTTGGGCTGCACCAGCAGATAACCAGCCCTGTGCTGGGCTGTGCCACTGGTGCAGCGGGAGCGCAGCCCCGGGAACAGGGAACCTTTCCCACTGGCTGCTCCGTGTTAGGTCCTTGTGCCCTGACTAACCAGCACGTAACTAGCACTTGGGAAGGTCCCAAGCCCAGCTCCTGAGTCACTGAACTTAAGAAGGTTGACAACCCTTGTCCCCATTTTACAGCTGCGGAAATCAACTGGAGAGAGCCTTGAATTACTTCCTGAAGTCATCAGTCAGAAATGAAACCAAGAAAGGAACAACAAACCCAAGCCCTCCCATGCCCGTTGGGTGCACAGGACATTGGATCACCTACGTTGGGAGCTGGAATTGCCGCTCAATTGCCACCAGGAGCCACGCAGCCCTAGTGCACAGATAGCACAGACCACAAGGACACAAGGTGAGCTCCTGCACCTCTCGCCTTTCCCAGCTGACAGCACCAGTTCACCTCTTCAAGGTGACATCTTAAAGAGGGTTTGCTTTAAGAAATACTGGTTTATTCTTTAAAAGGGGCTGTCTGTTCCTATAGAGATCCCTTAGGAGCCAGCTCCCTCCCCTGCGCTCAACCTCAACAAGCGCTGGCCGCAGTTCAGCTGCACAGAGATTCCTGAATACCTTTGGCTTAGGAAGCACTTCCCCAGCAGAAAGCCATGTTGTCAGATAACATGATCCAGAACTTCAGCAGG